TAAAACAAAAAAAAAAAAAAAAAAAAAACCTCCAAGAAATAATTTTACATGGTGGCTACACTTCAGATGAACAAGTACATGTTTTCTGGAAGAAAGACCACAACAACTTGGCTTTTACTTCCAAAATACAGTGGCATGTTAATTGCTTGATCAGCCAAATGAAACTAAATGTAATTAAGACTAGTGTGGGGTTAATTTGATCCATAATTATGTTATATAAAGTAAATGAAAATTATTTCTTTCCTAAATTGCAATTCATTAAAATTACAGATATTAAAATAAGATACTATAAAATTACATGAAGCATGTACACATTAATAGCCATTAGTAATAGCTTGATATTTCTATCTAAGCAACAGTTTATTAGAATGCTAAAAGGTGATATTTGACCGCTCACATGACTGATTTTTTTTACTTTGTTTTTCTACTCTTCTAAGAAATTATTTTTTTAATGAAGCAAAGTGTTCTAGTCTTAGTCTGTTTTTACCATTTTCTAGATATTTATCATCTGCTTAAATACCTTTGGATTAATGCTCATTGAATCTTCCCTAAAATACAAACACAGGTATTTAAAAACTCAAAATGGCATACAGGTATGTACATTTTGTATGACACCAAATGCATACATTACACGTAAAGTATTTGGAAGATTATTATTCAAAGGTCAAATTCTGTATCTTTAATTCAAATTATAGTCATATATCTATTTATAGAACATTTTTGTCTTAACCTCATTAAAAAAGAATTGAATGTAAAAGAAATTAATTGAAAGTAAAGGAACTAACATTTACTGAGGGCTTATCCTGCTTCAAGCACTATGCTATGTGCACTTTAAAGAAACTATTTTCATCCCTTTATGAAATTGATATTATTTATTCTTCTTTTACATATAAGAGAACTGAGACTCAGAGAGACTAAGGATTTTGCCTGAAATCATGGAGCCACTTACTTGCACCATTTACTGTGAGGTGGGGAAGGGTTCTCTTTTTTTAGACATGATGACAACACAGGGGAAAACAATTAATTTGCTGTGAAAAAACACAGTGTTTTAGTTCCCACTTTAGATTCTTTTTCATTGAAGATAACTTGTTTATTTCTGTGAAAATAAAAACCAGAAGGTCATAGCATATAATCTCTGTGCCCATTCACGTGACATTAAATACAATTTGGCCAAACAATCCTATCATTCCAAGTCCAAAATTATCTAACAAAGCCTCTTTAGTAACAGAGAAGGAAATACTGACAGCTAGTGGATCTATCCTACTGAGTAGTAACGAATGCCTTACACAAGATTCCACACAAAGAAAAGACTCATATTTAAGCTAGGAACAGAAAGAACCAGCTGATTATTATACTGTGCAGTTGGAGGGAAAGGAGTATAAAACAGTGGAAGGTGTGTACAGATTCTACTGAAGAAGCCTGGCCTTCCTATATGTAATAATGTCCTTTACCTTTACTTGTTTTGGGATTGAGGACAAGAGTGGTGACTTGAAGATCTGGTATAATTTAAAAGGAAAAGCATTTACAGTAGGATTTGCTTACAACACATAGCAATAGCAGTTTATCTGTTAGAGACCAGAGATATTAAAACCAAGTCTAGGGGACTTCCCTGGTGGTCCAGTGGCTTAAGACTCTGTGCTCCCAATGCAGGGGCCCAGGTTCAACACCTGGTCAGGGAACTAGATCCCACACGCCACAACTAAGAGTTAAATAAATAAATAAATAATAAAAATAAATAAAATAAAACCAAGTCTAGCTGAAACTTCAATGTGCCACAACACATTTATTTATTGCTATAAAGCAAGGTATCTGCATACTCAGGAGAATCTGATACACTTTGCACAATAAAGTATCACTATATTACTATTAGTAGTAGCGTGCAAATATTAACAAATGTTTCTCAATAACTGATTATACTGTACTAATAAGGACAACCATCCTTTCGATTTCTTGGAGGTCACCTGCATTTCTCCTTAAGTTAAAGCCAGATATCATCCATGAAAAAAACGAAACTAAAGGATAATCGTACTTAACAAGTTGCCAGAACACATTATTTACAGTAAGAATGTGTGCTTAACAAACCAAATATTTAATATTTCATGCATGAGAAATGGGCAGACATAATAGTCATTAGTATTCCAGGTGAGGCAGAATATGCAAATTTACTCAGCTATTAAGGAATGAGTCATATGCTATTTAATATAACAAAATAGTTTATGTATATTAGAGTAAACAGTGAAATCACAATGGGAAAAAAAATGGATTTGGTTCAGATGTTGAGCTGCTCTGTAAACCAATTGTCTATCCGGAGGGAAACAGCTCTGTCTACAACTACTTAGGCTCTAGGGCCTATTAGAAACCCTGGAGTGGGCTGTTGTTGCTGTTCTCAAGGGAATTTACCACGTCACACTAGAAATAGCTGACAATAATTGGAAAGCCTGCTCCTGCCAGTATTGCACACATTTTTAATACCTTCCTAAGTATTATGGGAGATAATACACAAGGTCTTTAGAATTCTAGTCATGCCACAACAAGCCATGGAAAGGACAACTAGACAATAGCCCCAAACTGGACTGTGACAGGCTAATTATTGTGGCTTCATTATAAAACCTCTTTTTACATAGGTCACCTGGGAAGTGTAATTAAAAATGCATTATTGGTGTATTTTTTATTGAAGCAATTAAATTAAAAAGCCAAAAAAATAATTATAAGAGGAGCAAATAATAATGTTGGTCAACAGCGTTTATCTGAGAAAGAGAGACCACGTTAGTGGTTCATTAGCAGTAAATGTGTTAACGGGAATCTGTTTGAAAAATGAGCCATAGAACAGCTTTTAAATACGCAGATTAAAGGATTTATAATGTCAAGTTTAACACAGAAATTACAGACAGTATTACATAACGATGAGTAATAGCACCTTTAATCTGACTTAGTAAAATGATTTACATCATAATTGTATGTGTATTATATGTGCTGCATCTCAGATAATTTCCCTTATATTTTTTACACACTTATGGATCTGTTCTTCCTGCTTTCTAATTATGTGGTACATCTAAATAATTAGATGTTAAAATAGGTATTATCCAGGGGCACAATGTTTGTCTTGGATATCCATTCTACGTAGGAATACCAGAACATGACACAATTTATTTAGGAAAATTTTTACAAAGCCCTAAATGTATCATGTCAAATCAACCCTCTCTCATCTCAAAACTCTCCTGGTACCTCCTTACATCATCATCATCACCACTCTATAATTATCATGATCACTAGTAATTAATGAGTGCTTTCTACGTGCCAGGAACTAAACATTGCCTATATTGTTTAGACATTAAATTCTCCAAATAACTTTCAGAGATTGTATTTTATCTCCATTTTTTAATGAGGATAATCAATTAATATTTAATTAATCTCTCTAGATATATGTACAAAAATGTACTCTTCTTCAATAGACTAGCCTAAAATCGCAATCACTTTTTCCTCTATCCTACTGGAAATCTTCCATATCTTAAGCCTGTTTATTTTAACTGAGTATTTTCCAAATATATAAAAGCAACAAGTAAGCATCTACTAAGTAAGAATCTCACAAACAACCCTTATAATCCATTTGGAGAGGAAAACCAAATTCAGTGAGGTGGAAGAACATCAATTATGAAGGGCGGTGAATTACAAGATGAATAAGTGAATGAATGGATAAATGAGAGAATTTTGTTGTTGAAACATGGGACTTTTGATTCAAGAAAAATATTTTTACAGTTTACAGAAAAAAAAGAGTTCTATTTATTTTCCTTTTTTTTTTTTTTTATCCTTTGTCCATTGATTCGTTTCTAAATATTTTCTCCCATTCTGAGGGGTGTCTTTTCGTCTTGTTCATGGTTTCCTTTGCTGTGCAAAAGCTTTTAAGTTTCATTAGGTCCCATTTGTTTATTTTTGTTTTTCTTTCCATTACTCCAGGAGGTGGATCAAAAAAGATCCTGCTGTGATTTATGTCAAAGAGTGTTCTTCCTATGTTTTCCTCTAAGAATTTTATAGTGTCCGGTCTTACATCTAGGTCTCTAATCCATTTTGAGTTTATTTTTGTGTATGGTGTTAGGGAGCATTCTAATTTCATTCTTTTACATGTAGCTGTCCAGTTTTCCCAGCACTACTTATTGAAGAGACTGTCTTTTCTCCATTGTATATCCTTGCCTCCTTTGTCATAGATTAGTTGACCATAGGTGCGTGGGTTTATCTCTGGGAATTCTATCTTGTTTCATTGATCTATATTTCTGTTTTTGTGTCAGTACCATATTGTCTTCATTACTGTAGCTTTGTAGTATAGTCTGAAGTCAGGGAGTCTGATTCCTCCAGCTCCATTTTTTTCCCTCAAGACTGCTTTCGTTGTTTGGGGTCTTTTGTGTCTCCATACAAATTTTAAGATTTTTTATTCTAGTTACGTAAAAAATGCCATTTGATAGGGATTGCATGGAATCTGTAGATTACTTTGGGTAGTATAGCTATTTTCACAGTATTGATTATTCCAACCCAAGAACATGGTATATCTCTCCATCTGTTGGTATCATTAATTTCTTTCAACAGTGTCTTATAGTTTTCTGCATAGAGGTCTTTTGTCTCCTTAGGTAGGTTTATTCCTAGGTATTTTATTCTTTTTGTTGCAATGGTAAATGGGAGTGTTTCCTTAATTTCTCTTTCAAATTTTTCATCATTAGTGTAGAGGAATGCAAGAGATTTCTGTGCATTAATTTTGTATCCTGCAACTTTACCAAATTCACTGATTATCTCTAGTAGTTTCCTGGTGGCATCTTTAGGATCCTCTATGTATAGTATAATGTCATCTGCAAACAGTGACAGTTTTACTTCTTCTTTTCCAATTTCTATTCCTTTTATTTCTTTTTCTTCTCTGATTGCCATGGCTGGGACTTCCAAAACTATGTTGAATAATAGTGGCAAGAGTGGACATCCTTGTCTTGTTCCTGATCTTAGAGGAAATGCTTTCAGTTTTTCACCATTGAGAATGATGTTTGCTGTGGGTTTGTCATATATAGCCTTTATTACATTGAGGTAGGTTCCCTCTATGCCCACTTTCTGGAGAGTTTTTATCATAAATGGGTGCTGAAATTTGTCAAAAGCTTTTTCTGCATCTATTGAGATGATCATATGGTTTTTATTCTTCAGTTTGTTAATATGCTATATCACATTGACTGATTTGCATATATTGAAGAATCCTTGCATCCCTGGGATAAATCCCTCTTGATCATGGTATATGATCCTTTCAGTGTGTTGTTGGATCCTGTTTGCTAGTATTTTGTTGAGGAATTTTGCATCTATATTCATCAGTGATATCGGTCTGTAATTTTCTTTTTTTGTAGTATCTTTCTCTGGTTTTGGTATCAGAGTGATGGTGGGCTCAGAGAATGAGTTTGGGAGTGTTCCTTCCTCTGCAATTTTTTGGAAGAGTTTGAGAAAGATGGGTGTTAGGTCTTCTCTAAATGTTTGATAGAATTCACCTGTGAGGCCATCTGGCCCTGGACTTTTGTTAGTTGGAAGATTTTTAATCACAGTTTCAATTTCATTACTTGTGATTGGTCTGTTCATATTTTCTATTTCTTCCTGGTTCGGTCTCAGAAGGTTATACCTTTCTAAGAATTTGTCCATTTCTTCCAGGTTGTCCAATTTATTGGCATAGAGTTGCTTGTTGTAGTCTCTCAGGATGGTTTGTATCTCTGTGGTGTCTGTTGTAACTTCTCCATTTTCATTTCTAATTTTATTGATTTGAGTCCTCTCCCTCTTTTTCCTGATGAGTCTAGCTAATGGTTTATCAATTTTGTTTATCTTATCAAAGAACCAGCTTTTAGTTATATTGATCTTTGCTATTGTTTTCTTTGTTTCTATTTCATTTATTTCTGCTCTGATCTTTATGATTTCTTTCCTTCTGCTAACTTCGGGTTTTATTTTTTCTTCTTTCTCTAGTTCTTTTAGGTGTAAGGTTAGGTTGTTTATTTGAGAGTTTTCTTGTTTCTTGAGGTAGGATTGTATTGCTATAAGCTTCCCTCTTAGAACTGCTTTGGCCGCATCCCATACGTTTTTGGATCGTCATGTTTTCATTGTCATTTGCCTCTAGGTATTTTTCAATTTCCTCTTTGATTTCCTCAGTGATCTCTTGGTTATTTAGCAATGTATTGTTCAACCTCCACGTTTGTGTTTTTTAGGGGTTTTTTTTCCCCTGTAGTTGATTTCTAATTTCATAGTTTTGTGGTCAGAAAAGATGCTTGATATGATTTCAATTTGCTTAAATTTACTGAGGCTTGATTTGTGACCCAAGATGTGATCTATCCTGGCGAATGTTCCGCGTGCACTTGAGAAGAAAGTGTAGTCTGCTGTTTTTGGATGGAATGTCCTATAAATAGCAATTAAATCGATCTGGTCTACTCTGTCATTTAAAGCTTGTGTTTCCTTATTAATTTTCTGTTTGGATGATCTGTCCATTGGTGTAAGTGAGGTATTAAAGTTCCCCACTATTACTGTGTTTCTGTTGATTTCCTCTTTTATAGCTGTTAGCAGTTGCCTTATGTATTGACGTGCTCCTATGTTGGGTTCATATATATTTATAATTGTTATATCTTCTTCTTGGATTGATCCTTTGATCATCATTGATCCCTTGATCATTATCTCTTGTCTC